TTAATTTTTAGCATAACCCCATTAATACATGTTTGGCAAATCTAAGTCCAACTAAATGTAATATTTAGACTTACCATATTATATATTTTTAAAACTTCTTTTATATTTTATAAACTTTGATTATTATACTTGTGACTATTATTTATTGTTTATATATGTATTTAGATTAATATGATATATAAAATTTTAACACATTTCATTATTGAAAATAAATATTTTTTCGTTTATTATGTCCGACAAATTCATATAAATCTAAAATTTAATTGATTTATCGTATGCTCTATAATTTACACGAATAATAAAAATTAATTTTTACACTTAAAATATTTTGAAATAAATGACATTTTCGTATGTTCTGATCAATTGCACATAAAAATATTACAATTGATGGCATCAAAATATGTTTGATCAAAATTTAACTTGATTATACTTATGCACAATGCATATCATTTTGTTAGTTTATAAATATTAGAAATCATATGATTTGTTAGACACATTTACATATTAAAATAGATTAAAAATATATTTAATTATTGAATCCCACGCTTGGTGTAGGTCAAAATCTAGTATAGCCGTAAACGTAAAATTCTAGCATAAATAGTAGTTTGACTTTATGCTTCTTAAAAATTTATATACTTTTACAGTTTTCATGAATTAATAGAAATACACTTTACTAACACTAATACTTATTATATCAGAAAAATTATTCGAAATACGAGTTGACATCTACTCAATCATTTACTTATTATAGCAAACAAATGCCTAAACCAATAATGAGATGGAAAAAAAAAACAGTTTTAAAACGCATCATTTTGTTCAAAATTGTCGAAAATAATTTTCAGGTAGTATACATGACCTGAAAACATGCCATATATGCAGTCCGCAAACAACCAATAGTAGTGCAAAGAAAACTAACCCTAATTAAGAAGATACAAGCCTACAAGGCTACAAATTTAAGGGCCCATATATATATATATAACGCGTAAATGCATTAGAAGCCATGGTTATAAAACATTATCGATTATCAAACAGTATTATATGTGTACTAGTGTGTGCAAAAGAGGTAATATTGTTTGATGCGTTCGTAATCTCATAATCGATTGTGTACTAATTAAATAAATATATATAAAGAGAAATTTCAGAAAATGCCACTTTTGAAGTGCCACTTTACAAAAATATCACATTTTTAAAATCTTTATAAAAATGCCACTTTTTCAAAATTATTTTTTCTTTATATTATTTATGTTTGAGTTAATTATGTTTTATTAGGGTTTAGTTACGAGGGTTTAGGGGGTTTTAGGGGTCAAAACATTTTTTTATGGTTTAGAATTTTAAGATATAAGCTTTACAAATCTATAATTAGTGGTATATTTGCAAATAGACATCTTTAAGTGATATTTTTACAAATTTGCATAAAAAATGACATTTTTGTTACGGAATAAGACAGCACAAAAGTTCAATGTTTGTGATGTGACGAGGGGTGGCCCTTACATACGACGTAAAGCCTAGCTAGAATAAATATCGAGGTTTTTTTTTTTTTTGCTAAACAAAAAAAAAACCAAATTTTTAGTTGTTGTTTTTTTCGAATCAATTTTAAAAAAAAAAATTCTATACGAGTTCAATAAGTTTTTTAAAAAATATATATATATATAATTATTCTAAATTGTTTCATAGAATAATAATTTTAGTGTTTTAAATAAAACAGTTACATTTTTAGAGATATACTAGGAAAAAGAATTTCTATGATGAAGTTGTCAACACCAAGATGTAATCTAAATACAAGAAACTTCAAAAAGCATTGCACATGAAATGAAGCAAAAAAAAATAGCAAACACACAAAGAGGTTTTTTCAAAAA